GAGTGTGTGTGGGAGATGGTGTCCAAGGCTTTGCTGGAGTCCAGGTAGACACACCCACAGCCTTCCCCTCACCCACCAGGAGGGTCACCTGGTCAGAAAAGGAGATCAGGTTGGTCAGACAGGACCTGCCCCTCCCAACCCCATGCTGGCTGGCTCTGCTGTGTGATCACACTCAGGATGATCTGCCCCATGACTTTGCCAGACACTGAGCTCAGGCTGACAGGGCTGTAATTTCTCAGATCCTCCTTACAACCCTTTTTGTGGATTGGTGTGACATTCACCAACTTCCAATCCTCTGGGACCTCCCCAGTGAGCCAGGACTGTCGGTAAATGATGGAGAGCAGCTTGGCAAACTCTTCCACCAAGTCCTTGAGAAGGTTCCTGGAGTCACAGTTCCTTTCACTTTTGCCTCTTGATCCACCTCATCCTTGGCCCCACAGGAGGTGGCAATGAGGAGATGGACATGGATTGGCCTCCTAAAGGGTTGGGAACACCCAAAAAAGCTCCTGGAGGACAACCCAGGGATGATCTCAGGGAACATCTGGGAATGGCAGGTCATGTCTGACCCTCCCTGATCTCCTCTGGTGACCAGGTGACCCTCCAGGGGGTGAGGGGAAGGTGGGACATGTCCACCTGGACTCAGTAAAGCCTTGGAGATGTCTCCCAGGGAATGTCCTGGAGAAATTCCTGAGGTACAGGTAGGACATGTCCACTTGGAGTTGGTAAAGCCTTGGAGATGTCTCCATGGGACCCATGAGGCCAATGAGGTGTGAGGTTCAACAAGGCCAAGTGTCTGTTCCTGCCCTTGGGTCACACCAACCCTATGGAATGTTCCAGGCAGGGAGAAGATTGGTTGGAAAGTTCCAAAAGAACCCAGGGGTGATGTGACATCACCTGGACATGAGCCCAAGTGTGCCCAGGTGGCCAAGAAGGTCAGTGGCACTTGGCTTGGACCAGCCATGGTGAGACCAAAGGCCCAGAGCAGTGATTGTCCCTCTGTGGTGGCACTTGGGAGCATTTTTGAGCCTCTCAGGAGAAGACATTGAGGTGCTGGAGGTGTCCAGTGGTGGGGATGGAGCTGGAGAAGGCTCTGGAGAACGTTGAAGGAGCTGTAGTTGCTCAGCCTGGAGAAAAGGAGGATCAGAAGGACCTTCTGTCTCTCTCCAACCACCTGACAGGAGGTTGGAGCCAGGTGGGGTCAGAACCTTCTCCCAGGGAACAACAGGATGAGAGGAAATGACCTCAAGCTGCAGCAGGAGAGGTTCAGGTTGGACATCAGGAGGAATTTCTTCATGGAAAGGGTTGGAATGGGCTGTCCAGGGAGGTGGTGGAGTCATCACCCCAGAGGTGTCCACGGAACAACTGGACGTGGCACTCGGTGCCCTGCTCTAGTTGCCAAGGTGGTGATGGGTCAAAGGTTGGACTTGATGGTCTTAGAGGCCTTTTCCAACCTACTTGAGTTTCTCCACATCCAATTGGACTTAGATTTAGCCTCATCATGCAGAGAAATCCTGTCCTGAAGGTCCCATGTGGGGGCAAAGCCTGTGAAATGCCTTCAAGATCCAACTTCACATTCTCCCAAGCCTCTCAAAACAACTTCTCCCTCCTCTGGAGGCCAAGTGGAAGTTTGGAATCACAACTTCATTGCTTGAACTTCATCCCAAGCAGCTTCTTCTCTCCTCCTAATTCCACTGGAAGGTTCTTCACCACCTCTGAGGATGGAGAGGAACCTTTGGCTCTGGTTTGATTCCTCCTTCCCATTTTCCCTCTGTGCTGGACAGGACTCTGAGGAGACCTTTCCTGGATGTTTGGATTGTTGATGTCCTACAGAGCTGAGACACGATGGGATCCAAGTTCCAGCCAACTCTTCTCATCCTTGTTCTCCTCCAGATGATTCCTTGGATCTCAGGTAAGTTTTGGTTCTAGGTCAGCTTGGACAGGTCTTGGAGCAACCTGCTCTGGTTGGTGTGGCATGGGGGTTGGACCACGTGCCCTTTGTGATCCCTTCCAACTCCTTAAGGAGTCAACTGTGTCCTTCACATGACTTTAAACCCCTTAGACACTTCACCTGAGCTTAGATTGACCTTGATGATCTCAGGGGGCTTCACCTGAGCTTAGGTTGACCTTGATGACATCTGGGGGTTTCTCCAACCACACTGACCCTGGGATTCTTGCAGGTCAGTATGACATCCTTCCTCCTGACAACCCTGTCATCGGTGTCATTGGAAGAGGAGTTGTCCTGCCCTGTCAGTTGACAGTGCCCATCATCCCTGAGAGACTCTCTGTCCAGTGGCACTTTGATGGAGGCTCCAAACGAACTGAGGTGGCTTCTTATGATGGGACGAACGCCCAGAGCCCAGTGCAGGAGGATAAGGATTATCTGGGCAGGACCAACTTCTTCTGGTCCGAGTTTAACGGTGGCAACCTGTCCCTGTTCCTGAAGAATGTGAAACCTTCAGACAAGGGCAAATACACCTGCAATGTCTTCTATGAGAACTGGTACAACGAGGTGATAGTGGACCTGGATGTGGCAGGTGAGACCAAGAACAGCTTCCTACTTCTTCCCATGGAATTCTGAAGGTCTTTGAGGTGCCAATGGGTTCATCTCACTTGGAGACATTGTGCCCTGGTGGCCAGGAGGGATGGTGGGATCTGGGGATGCATTGGGAAGAGGGTGGACAGCAGGGCAAGGAGGTGATGCTTCACTTGTGCTTGACTGTGGTGATCCTCCACCTGTCACTGGCTGTGGTGAGGCACATCTGAGGTGGTTCTGGGCCCCATAGTTCAGGAAAGACAAGGAGATGCTAGAGAAGGTTCATCACAAAGGCAATGAGGGGTCTGGAGTGTCTCTGATGAGGACACAGCACAGGGTTGGACAGGAACAGGTTCCTACTTCTTCCCATGAAATCCAGAAGGTCTTTGAGGTATCAGTGGGTTCATCTCACTGATAGTCCTTGTGCCCTGGGGACCAGGAGGGATGGTGGGATCCTAGGAGGCATTGTGACACCTTCCACTAGCCCAGATGGCTCCAAGCCTCATTGAACCTCACCTTGGACACCTCCAGGGACAACTGCCGTGGGCAGGGACACCTTCCACTAGTCCATGTGGCTCCAAGCCATGTACAGCCTGGCCTGGAACACTTCCAGGGACACCTTCCATGGGCAGGGACTCCTTCCACTAGACCAGGTCCATGCCATGTTCATCCTGGATTAGACACCTCCAGGGACACATTCCCTGGGCAAGGACACCTTCCACTGGCCCAGGTATCTCCAAACCATGTCCAACTTGGCCCTGAGCACCTCTGGGGATGAAGCAACCAGAGCTTCTCTGGGAATTCCATTCCATCCCCTCACATCTCTGCCAGGGAGGAATTTCTCCTCACCATCAAACATGGTTTGATGAGGAAAGTTCTTGTCTTCTCCTCGTTGGACCTAATTCTCTTGTTCTCTGCCAGCTAAAGGTGTTGAGTCTTCAGTTTTCCTGGATGGCCACGTGGGTCATGGAATTGGCCTCACCTGCAAGTCCCAGGGATGGTTCCCTGAGCCACAAGTGGTTTGGTTGAACAGCAAAGGACAACCAAGGATGGAGAAAGTGACCACTCGAAGCACTTTGGACTCCTCTTCAGGCATTTTTAATGTCATGAGTTCCATGAACCTCGAGCCAGGTGCTGACCACGAGGTGACCTGCAGGGTGGTCAATGGTGTCCTCAATGCAACGTGCGAGTCCAGGATCAGGATTTCAGGTGAGTCACCTCCAGGATGGGGCAGGACCTGCTCTCTGTGAGCTCTCCCTGGAGATGTCCTGGAGCCCCAAGCCAAGCACCATGAGTGGTGTGAGGATGGAGAATGTGGAGTTGTCTATCTTGATGTCTTGTTGGATCTGAGATGCGTCTTAGCCGTGAGTCCTTGTGCAGAGCTCTCAGCTGCCACCTGAGAGCTTGAGGGACAGATCTAGAGAGCTTGGAGAGGGATCTGGAGAGCCTGGAGAGAGAAGGATCTAGAGACCTTGGAGAGAGAAGGATCTAGAGAGCTTGGAAAGGGAAGATCTAGAGAGCTTGGAGAGGGAAGATCTAGAGAGCTTGGAGAAGGATCTGGAGAGCTTGGAGAAGGTTGGAAAAGATCTCCAACACCATCAAGTCCAACCATTGACCCACTACCATCTTCTCAACTAGACCAGAGCACGACCCATTACCATCTTCTCAACTAGACCAGAGCACCAGTTGGTTCTTGGAGATCTCCAGGTGTGATGATTCCACCACTCCCTGGACAGACCAAGTTGGACTTGATGATCCTTGTAGGTCTCTTCCAGCTAGGGAGATTCCATAATTCTATTCCATGTTTGTATTCCATGATCCTATTCCATGATTCTTTCCCATGATTCTATTCCATGTTTCTACTCCATGATTCTATTCCATGATTCTACTCCATGATTCTCTTCCATGACCCTACTCCATGACCCTATTACATGATTCTATTCCATGACTCTACTCCATGACCCTATTCCATGATTCTACTCCACAATCCTAGCCCATGACCCTATTCCATGGCAGAAAGTGCTGATTGACCACACCCAACCCCTTCTTTATCCCTCCCACCACCATGACACCTCCAACCTTCCCTCAGGATGGATTTCCAGCCTGGAAAATTCCATTCCAAAGAGGCAAAAAAGGGAAGTCCTTGGTTTTGGTTTTTTTTTCCATCTGAAATCTACAAGATTCTGTTTTCCATCAAATTCCCCCTTGGAATTCCTTGTGTCTGTTGCAGATTCCTTCTTTCCTGCCACTTCCCCTTGGATGACATCATCCATTGTCATCTTGTGCCTGGATTTGGCCGTTGTTGGCCTCGTGGTTTATAAGACCAAAAGTGAGTATTTTCTGTCTAAATTTAAATCTCCTTTGCATATCAGATCCAGGGATGGTCCCATGGGATGGGGAGGAATTCTGGGATTGGGAGGGAGGGACGTCATTCATTGATGATTGATTAACATTAGGGTTTGAGGCTCTGAGGAGACACATTTGAAGGTCAAAGGTGATAAAGGGGAGGAATTTTGGGGATTTGGGGGAATATTTGGGGATTTGAAGGGAGAGAAATTGGAATTAGGTTTAAAAGTAACTAAAATAATGAGTTTTTTGTGGTTTGATTTGTTGTTTCAGGTAGTATCTCAGAGGCCTCGGAGGCAGGTGAGGAGTAAAGACTCACTCTAAGCACTAAGTGTCGATGGAAATGTCATATTTTCATGTCCTATCATGAATATTTTAATGTAGTTTAATATCCCAAACTCTTTCACTGCAAGAATTGGATTTTTATCTGTTTTCCATGCTGAAAAATGAATGTTTTTCCCCTTTTCATTGCAGAAAAAAAGAGGAGGAATATGGAAGAAGGTAAATAATCCCTGAAATGCCTCAGGTGGCCTCAACAACATCAAATCAGAGACAAATCAACCTCTTGATTTGCATATCAATATGTTCAGATTGACATATTAATTTTAATTGTCATATTAATTTGAATATTAATATATTAATGACAATATGCTAATTATACCAGTAATCTTACTCCCTCATTGATGGTTTAATCATCTTATTTCGATATTGATATCGTGATTTTAATATCAATATCTGAATGTTAATACTGATCTGAATTTTAATATTGATCTGAATTTTAATATTAATCCTAATTCCTCTTTGGTGGTTTAATTGCTCTTTTTTTTCTACCAAAATGCTCCATTTTTTGCACCAGAATATCCCAATATTCCCATTTTTTTGCCTCCTCTGATTTATCCTTCTAATAAACCCTAAGATTGGTATTAGGATTGATATGATTAATATTGGATTTATTGATAGATTATTTTTGGATGGTGATTACTATTTATTAAAAGATTGCTATTGGATTTATTATTAGATTATTATTGGGTGATTATTACTATTGGGTGATTATTGGATGATTATTATTGGGTGATTATTAGTATTATTGGCTTAATTATTAGATTGTTATTGGAGATTATTGGATCGTTATTATTATTATAATTGAAATCTTATTGGATTATTTTATTGGATGATGATGATTATTATTATTGGATTATTATTATTGGATTATTATTATTGGATTATTGTTATAACTGTTATAGTATTATTGAATGATTATTGGATTTAATTTTAGAGGGGGAAAATCTTATTTTAGTGAAGGAAAAAATCAGTCCAGAAAAATCAGAATTAAGGAAATGAATCGAACTTGCCAATGAAGAAATTGATCTCATTGTGCCACTGATCAATGAATGGGTTTTGTGCCTCTTCCTTGCAGAGAAAGGGAATGTTATAACTGTTATAGTATTATTGAATGATTATTGGATTTAATTTTAGAGGGGGAAAATCTTATTTTAGTGAAGGAAAAAATCAGTCCAGAAAAATCAGAATTAAGGAAATGAATCGAACTTGCCAATGAAGAAATTGATCTCATTGTGCCACTGATCAATGAATGGGTTTTGTGCCTCTTCCTTGCAGAGAAAGGGAATCTGCAGGCACAGCTGGGTAAGTTCTCCTGAGCCTTTCAGGTCTTCCAGGGATTTCTCTGCTTGTATCCCAGAAAAAGGAGATTTCTGTGGAATGTTCTGGGCTGAGAATGTTGCTGGGAACAAAAGGCTTTGGGCTAATAATAAAGTTGGAGTTGAGATTGAAGTGAGAATTGGTGGAAGATTCAGTTGTTGGAGCTTCAGGAGTTAAAGGATGATTATGAGTGTTATTATCAATGTTATTGATATTATTATTGATATTGGTATTATTGTCATTATTATTGTTTTGTTGTTGTTGTTGCTATGGTTGTTATTATGGCTATTGTTATGGTTATTTTTGTGTTCCTCCTCCTCTTCCTTCTCCTCCTCCTTCTCCTCCTCCTTCTCCTCCTCCTTCTCCTCCTCCTCCTCCTCCTCCTTCTCCTCCTCCTTCTCCTTCTCCTTCTCCTTCTCCTTCTCCTTCTCCTTCTCCTTCTCCTTCTCCTTCTCCTTCTCCTTCTCCTTCTCCTTCTCCTTCTCCTTCTCCTTCTCCTTCTCCTTCTCCTTCTCCTTCTCCTTCTCCTTCTCCTTCTCCTTCTCCTTCTCCTTCTCCTTCTCCTTCTCCTTCTCCTTCTCCTTCTCCTTCTCCTTCTCCTTCTCCTTCTCCTTCTCCTTCTCCTTCTCCTTCTCCTGGTTATTCTTATGGTTCTTCTCATTCTTCTTCTCATTCTTCTTCACACGCACATCATTCTTCTCATTTTTCTCCTCATTCTTCTTCTTCTTCTTCCACTTATTATTATGGTTATTCTCCTTCTTCTCCTTCTTCTTCTCATTCTTCTTCCGCTTCTCCTGGCCATTATGGTTATTATTATGGTTCATCTTCTCCTTCTTCTTCCTGTTCTTCTGCTGGTTATTATGGTTATTATTATTGTTCTTCTTCTTGTTGTTTTTTTTTCTCATTCTTCTTCTTCTTCTACTCCTTCTTCTTCTTCTTCTCCTTCCTCTGGTCACTATGCTTATTATGGTTCTTCTCATTCTTCTTCTCATTCATCTCGTTATCATTGTTATTATTGTTATAGTTAATGGTTATTATTCTTTTATTCTTAATTCTCCTATTATTCTCATTCTCATAGTATTATTTTTGTTCTTATTCTATTATTATTTTTGATCCTATCGTAATGTTCTAGTCTAATATTATCCATTATTGTGGATCTCTATGACATACACATATTAGTGTGAGACTCTGATCCAGCATCTGCTGCTAATTAATCCTTTTAACTAGTCATTATTAGAAAGGACTTTGAATCTCATTTTTTCCACCACAAAGTAACTCAGTGGTTTCCTTTCCCTCCCTCACTGCGGCTCAGAGGCACAGAGGAGCACAGGCAAAGGAGGTAAAGATCTTCCCATAACCCACAGGGATTATCCTAATCCATGGGGATTATCCATCGGGAACATTGGTGCTCTCCTTGGGTGGGGGGGAAAGTGGGATGGGAAAAAGTTGGGATGGAAATGTGGAACGGGAAAAATGTGGAATGGAGATGTGGGACAGGAAAAAGGTGGGGCAGGAAAAACTTGGGATGGGAAAAATGTGGAACGGGAAAAATGTGGGATGGGAAAAATGTGGGATGGAAATGTGGAACAGGAAAAATGGGATGGGAAAAATGTGGGATGGAAATGTGGAACAGGAAAAATGGGATGGGAAAAATGTGGGATGGAAATGTGGAACAGGAAAAATGGGATGGGAAAAATGTGGGATGGAAATGTGGAACAGGAAAAATGGGATGGGAAAAATGTGGGATGGAAATGTGGAACAGGAAAAATGGGATGGGAAAAATGTGGGATGGAAATGTGGAACAGGAAAAATGGGATGGGAAAAATGTGGGATGGAAATGTGGAACAGGAAAAATGGGATGGGAAAAATGTGGGATGGAAATGTGGAACAGGAAAAATGGGATGGGAAAAATGTGGGATGGAAATGTGGAACAGGAAAAATGGGATGGGAAAAATGTGGGATGGAAATGTGGAACAGGAAAAATGGGATGGGAAAAATGTGGGATGGAAATGTGGAACAGGAAAAATGGGATGGGAAAAATGTGGGATGGAAATGTGGAACAGGAAAAATGGGATGGGAAAAATGTGGGATGGAAATGTGGAACAGGAAAAATGGGATGGGAAAAATGTGGGATGGAAATGTGGAACAGGAAAAATGGGATGGGAAAAATGTGGGATGGAAATGTGGAACAGGAAAAATGGGATGGGAAAAATGTGGGATGGAAATGTGGAACAGGAAAAATGGGATGGGAAAAATGTGGGATGGAAATGTGGAACAGGAAAAATGGGATGGGAAAAATGTGGGATGGAAATGTGGAACAGGAAAAATGGGATGGGAAAAATGTGGGATGGAAATGTGGAACAGGAAAAATGGGATGGGAAAAATGTGGGATGGAAATGTGGAACAGGAAAAATGGGATGGGAAAAATGTGGGATGGAAATGTGGAACAGGAAAAATGGGATGGGAAAAATGTGGGATGGAAATGTGGAACAGGAAAAATGGGATGGGAAAAATGTGGGATGGAAATGTGGAACAGGAAAAATGGGATGGGAAAAATGTGGGATGGAAATGTGGAACAGGAAAAATGGGATGGGAAAAATGTGGGATGGAAATGTGGAACAGGAAAAATGGGATGGGAAAAATGTGGGATGGAAATGTGGAACAGGAAAAATGGGATGGGAAAAATGTGGGATGGAAATGTGGAACAGGAAAAATGGGATGGGAAAAATGTGGGATGGAAATGTGGAACAGGAAAAATGGGATGGGAAAAATGTGGGATGGAAATGTGGAACAGGAAAAATGGGATGGTTGGGAAAAATGTGGGATGGAGATGTGGAATGGGAAAAACATGGGATGGGAAAAACTTGGGAGGGAACTGTGGATTGGGAAAAAGGTGGGACAAGAAAGACATAGGATGGAAATGTGGAACGGGAAAAACGTGGGATGGGAAAAACGGGATGGGAAAAACTTGGGGTGGAAATGTGGAACGGGAAAAATGAGATGGGAAAAAGGTGGGATGGAAGTGTGGAATGGGAAAAACATGGGGCAGGAAAAATGTGGGATGGGAAAAACACGATGGGAATGTGGAATGGGAAAAATGTGGGACGGGAAAAACGTGAGACAGAAATGTGGAATGGGAAAAACGTGAGACGGGAAAAATGTGGGATGGGAAAAATGTGGGATGGGAATGTGGAACGGGAAAAATGTGGGATGGGAAAAACGTGAGACAGAAATGAGGGATGGGAATGTGGAACGGGAAAAATGTGGGATGGGAAAAATGTGGGATGGGAATGTGGAACGGGAAAAATGTGGGATGGGAAAAACGTGAGACAGAAATGAGGGATGGGAAAGAAACAGGAAAAATGTGAGGATTAGAATGGAAAACTGGAAATGTGGGAGAGAGAAATAAAACAAAAATAGAAATGTAAAGATGTAAAAATGGTGTAGGTAAATAGAACTATAAATAAAATGAAGAATAGTAAAAATGATTAAAAATAATAAAATAGAAATGTAATTAATGATAATAGAATTCTAATAAAATAAAATGATAGAAGTATGAAGAAAATGGTAACTAATAAAATAAAACCAATAAAATAAAAATAGTATTAATG